GGCAACACACCAATGTTAACCTTGGCAGGATAAATCTCCCCAGACTTATCCAACGGCTGTGAATATTTAAAACTAACACAAGTCTCATTAAGTGTCCAGTTTTAGGGTCTTACACAGAAGCATACCACACAACATGAATCAAACATGTACTTTATTTATTTACATTAAATATTAAAAGTACATCAAAATCGATTGAAGCTAAGGGCATACAAAAACTGTCCAACACCAACCTCATAGCCACATCCCACCTTGTATTGGGAACATCTCTCCATGAATACAAGTATGGGAGACGTTCTCGATGTGCATCTAGGACAAGCTTTGAGGTCAGAGTGAGGCAAGCTGAGTGAGGAGCAAATCCGAGTTCAAATTAACCACACTAATGACAGTTCTCAATACACTACTTTAAGAGTAGTGATGAAATATGAACTTTGTGTGAATAGACGTAAGATCTTTTGCCCACAAGAACTCTGCCCACGTCTACTCACAACACATTTCCCCATGAATTGAAAGCGTCTCCTTCTGCATGATACTATGTAGGAGGGTGAAGGATGAGATATTCTTTATGTATGACTGCGGATGAACGGTAGGGTTGTTCATAACAAGACCCAAACCGACCAAACTGACCAACCTGGTCCGATCCAACCCGAGTTGGTTGGTTTTTCTTTTGTATCGGTCGGTTTTGGGTTACAAAAAAACATAAACCGATAGTTCGGTTTGATTTTGGTTTTCATGTATGAAAATTGAAACCGAACCGACCCGAACCGACTTAGATATATATTATAGATATATAATATATTTCAGATATTATATATGAAAGAATGGTAGGATCCATCTAATGGACGCCATAAAGATTGCGGAATGGGTGGGCGAATTTCAAAAATTTTCCTACCTTCTCTCAATTGGGAATCGTATTCCCTAAATTTAGAATACAATATTCAAGGATCCTACTTGAACCATAATCGAACCAGATCTGAACCAAAAGGAACGGGAGGAATTATACCTGATCCAGAGAAGCAGTATCTCCCAAAGTTGGTGTTCACGCCCAAAGAGGACACCAAGATCCGCTCCTGCTAAAGATGACACAACTGTATGTGGAATGGAACCAGCAGAGTGCATCCTACACACTGGATCCTTCGCAAGAATCCTCTAGAAACTCTGAGCACCAAATCTTTTTCAGCCTTTTCTGGAAAACTGATGTCAAGAATTGATTTCTTGATTTCTTTCTTCTGCAAAGATCAAATCTTGCCAGAAGGAATGGCGGTGGCTGAAGGAGAACTCTTGGGACGAAGATGGCTGAATTGCTTCTCTTCTCTTTGGAGTGTGAATGAGATCTAATCTCAGTTCGTAGAAATGCTTTCTTGCTTGCTTACAACCCTTGGTTCGAAATCTGATATTTTTCTCTTAGGGTTTCTCCTCTTTTCTTCTTGATTAAGAAACCTCCTAATTAGGAGTTATCCTAATCCAAATCWGTATTTGGATAGGGGATTATCTTAATCCTATCTGCAGATTAAGTTAGCTTACTCCTGATCTTATCAGGAGGTTACCAGATTCAAATCTGATTTGAATTTGGTCTTCCAAAGTGGATAAGGTTAAAGGCCCAATCCTTTTGCTAACATTAATCTCAGATCCGCCCCATAGATGGGTGATCATATCAGCCCAGCTCGAAAATGGGCTTTTGGCCAGTTAAGTGTTTAGTGCTTAACTAGTTTCCAATCTGTTGCGCAGTTGGGCTTCTTTGTATGGCGTGGGACCCAAGCATTGATCTACACACCAGCCACATGGGTTCGGCCCAACCTTTATTACAAGGCCCAGCTGAATTCACGGAAAGAGCTCAGTGAACCCCTGAGCCCATCACATGGACCCTATGGGCCCAACACTTACATTAACTGGTTCCTAGGCCAAGCCATCTTATAAAAACCCAGGGAGTGTGGGTAGGTAAAAGATTAGCCCATCAGGTACTATCCTAAATGGTCTTACACTTAACCTCTCAGCCCTTAATGATCAAGCATTGCCCGACAAGAGAGGACCTCTCCCTCGGTTGCAAGGAACAATGCCGCACT